CTGTAAGCTGGAGATGATGTCCCTGGTAGTCAGTAAATGGGGGCTGATAGTGCTGCCTGGAACAGTAATGGGAAGCTGGATGCTGTCCTGGTAGACAGTAAAGGTGAAGCTGGAGGTGCTGTCCTGGGAGGCAGTAATGGTGAAGCTGGAAGATGCTGTCCTGGAGACAGTAATGGGAAGCTGGAGATGCTGTCCTGGTAACAGTAAATGAAGCTGGAGATTTTGTCCAGGTAGTCGGGAATTAAATCCGCAGGAATGAATACATATAAATGACCTCATAGGGGACAGGAGCCATAGTAGGAAACAAGTGTAGTCAAAGTAAGATAAAACCAATTTGAAACTAGAAATACCGCAGGAAATAGCAAAACAAGAGGACTCCACTAGCAATAGTGAGGAATATTTACCAAAACAACTGGTTGAAGCTCCATTGTTGGTGCTAGGGAGGATAGAAGTAAGACAGGGAAACATGCACCAACAGGGAATACATGTCACAGAAACCCAAGGCAAACGAAACCAACCTGTGCACATACATATGCACTCGATCTGCTGCATGGGAAATCTGGAAAAACAGATGGGACGTGGCAACAAAGACCACCCAGAAATGCCATGCCCATATGAACCAGAGGAAAATGCAAACTCCTTCCTGTAAGCTTATTCAACCTGAACGTGTACCTCTTCCGTACAGGAAGACTGTGCTTATAACTTAATATTGCCAGGCAAACCATCTAAAGGGGACAAAGAAGATCAAAACATCCAGGCCATGGAAAAACCTGGTAGCCACAGCACTCAAGAGGGAAGAGGGTTTGTAGTGCCAGAAGAAAAAAAAAAACAAACTGGCAAAATGGCAGAAATCGTACACCAAATCCAGTCATTCCTGGAGTGGAAACCACAGTCGATGGCCCCACACCAAACCAACAGATACAGATACTAATGCCGGAAAAAAAAAATCCCCCCCCCAGTACCACAATACCACCCGTCCCGATAACATTCTTCTTGCAAATAAACAGGGTCTAAAGCCAGCAACAAACAACAAAATACCGTTCATCCGTGGACTGCTTGCAGAGGCGCAAGGCAATGTTTCCGGCTTCTTCACTGAGACCCACATAAAGGATCACTTGGACAACGAAATATGGCCCAGGTTACAACCTATACAGATTTACAGTGTGAACAGGCCAAAGGGGGGGGTTTGGCCTGTACTTGCAGGAGTCATTGTTTGCACAGAACTGCCTAAATGCCTCAAATTAGTGTGAAGTGTTACAGCAAAGGTCGAGAACCAAAACCACGTCTTGTGATAGTCTACAACCTCCGGATGCAACATCCAAGCAATTCCCAGGAACAGCTGTTAAAAATTTGGCCACTGTCTGGCAAACCTTCCAGCTCCTGCACCCAACATCTTGCTCCTGGTGGATTTCAACTTAAGGCACCTAAAATGGAGGAAAATAGCCAATAATATTGTTTGCAGTAATAACACCAGGAAGCAGCTGTGATGAAAACTCACACTCACAGCGAGCTTTAAAATCTCTGCACAAAATTCAAATTTAAACCAGCAAATAATAGAGTCTACTAGACTGGAGAATACACTAGACGCTCCTCTACCACAAACAATGATGATCTGATAAGAATAACACGCATAACAAAAACAATATACCAATCACAACATAATGAGGTTCAGTCATGAATGCGCGGAGCCCCCAGCCCGACATAATGAATTAGTCACGAGGAGCATTCACCAACTTTCAACTTCAATAACAAAACATAAAGTGGGACCAATTAAACCAAGTCCCTTAACCGATATAAGCTGGGAAGACTACTACGCAACCACAGACCCCAACTTATGCCTAGAACAGATAACTCGGTGGCACTCGATGTATGCACAAGCTTATTCCTCTAAGAAAAAGGAGGAGTAGATGTAAACGAAAGAGACAGGCGCTCCCTTTACGAGGCGACGGAAAAGAATAACAGAGCGGCTATAAAGAGGTCAATATACTGAAATGCGTAGGGAGACACTGGTCAGAGAAATAGCAAGCATCGAACTTAAGCTAAACGAATCCTTTAGGAGTCAGGAACACGGGAAGAACAAAAGGCCATAAATGAAATCGAAAGAAACCCAAAGTTATTTCTTCTCCTATGCCAAATCAAAATCGAGAACAACGGCCAGTCATTGGGCCTCTTACTTACTCAAAGATGGGTCCTTCACAGATGACAGCAAGAAATGAGTGAGCTTGCACAAGTCCCCCAATATGACTCATTTTAGCAAGCCGCAAACCAGACTGAGAGTCGAAGATCAAATGATTTTTTTTATGAGAGAGCCACAACATTTGATTAACACAAGCCTATCCGAATGTTTATCCTGACGCCAGAAAGAACTTTCGAACATGCGATAAATGACATGCCCCATGCACTCGCCCCATGGCCAACACATGGAACGCTGTGTTCATCAAGAACTGCAGAAGCTCCCTATCACACCATTTTTCCCATCCTATGGAGAGGGAGCATGGACCACGGGGGTCCCGTCCCACAGTTACTAAAAACAACAGACATAGCCCCACTCCACAAAGGGGCAGTAAAGCAACAGCACAGAATACAGACCAATACCAAACATCCCAAATCCATAAAAATCTTTGAAAGGGTCCTAAGAGCAAGACACCACCCATTTAGAAACCCATCAGTTACACAACCCAGGCAAAGCGTGGGTTTTAGAACAGGTCGCCCTGTCTGTCACAACTATTGGACCCACTACGACAAGGTCCTAAATGCACTAAGAAGACGAAAAAGAATGCAGATGTATTTAATACAGACTTTGGCAAAAGCCTTTGACAAGTGTACCATGGCGTAATAGCGCACAAAATGCGTGCTAAAGGAATAACAGGAAAAGTCGGTCCATGGATCTAAAATTTCCTCACTAAACAGAACCAGAGAGTATCGTCAACAGAGTAAAGTCCGAGGCAGCTAGGGTGAAAAGCTCTGTTCCACAAGGCACAGTACTCGCCCCCAAATCTTGTTCCTCATCCTTATATCCGACATAGACAAGGATGTCAGCCACAGCACCGTGTTTTCCCTTTTGCAGATGCCCACCCGAATCTGCATGACAGTGTCTTCCATTGCAGACACTGCAAAGCTCCAGGCAGACATCAACCAAATCTTTCAGTGGGCTGCAGAAAACAATATGAAGTTCAACGATGAGAAATTTAAAATTACTCAGATATGGTAAAAATGAGGAAATTAAATCTTCATCAGAGTACAAAACAATTCTGGCCACAAATAGACGAAACACCAACGTCAAAGCCCTTTGGGCGTGATCATGTCGGAGGATCTCACCTTCAAGGACCAAAACATTGTATCAATCGCATCTGCTAGAAAAAATGACAGGATGGATAATGAGAACCTTCAAAACTAGGGAGGCCAAGCCCATGATGACACTCTTCAGGTCACTTGTTCTATCTAGGCCGGAATATTGCTGCACACTAACAGCACCTTTAAGGCAGGTGAAATTGCCGACCTAAAAAATGTACAGAGAACTTTCACGGCGCGCATAACGGAGATAAAACCCTCAATTATTGGGAGCGCTTGAGGTTCCAAAAACCTGTATTCCCTGGAACGCAGGAGGGAGAGATACATGATTATATACACCTGGAAAATCCTAGAGGGACTAGTACCGAACTTGCACACGAAAATCACTCACTACGAAAGCAAAAGACTTGGCAGACGATGCACCCTCCCCCCAATGAAAAGCAGGGGGGTTTACTAGCACGTTAAGAGGGCCATACAATAAGTGTCAGGGGCCCGAGACTGTTCAACTGCCTCCCAGCACACATAAGGGGGATTACCAACAGACCCCTGGCAGTCTTCAAGCTGGCACTGGACAAGCACCTAAAGTCAGTTCCGGATCAGCCGGGCTGTGGCTCGTACGTTGGTTTGCGTGCAGCCAGCAGCAACACCTGGTTGAAACAGGCTTTTGATCCACCAGGAGGCCTGGTCACAGACCGGGCCACGGGGGCGTTGACCCCCGGAACTCTCTCCAGGTAAACTCCAGGTCTCTCCAGGTAATGACAGCAATGATACTGCTGATAGTTTACCTGGTAATTATTACCAGTATAATGACAGCAATGATACTGCTGATAGTTTACCTGGTAATTATTACCAGTATAATGACAACAATAATACTGCTGATAGTTTACCTGGTAATTATTACCAGTATAATGACAACAATGATACTGCTGATAGTTTACCTGGTAATTATTACCAGTTTTAATGACAACAATGACACTGCTGATAGTTTACCTGGTAATTATTACCATATAATGACAACAATGACACTGCTGATAGTTTACCTGGTAATTATTACCAGTATAATGACAGCAAAGTACTGCTGATAGTTTACCTGGTTAATTATTACCAGTATAATGACAACAATAATACTGCTGATGTTTTCCTGGTAATTATTACCAAATATAATGACAGCAATGATACTGCTGATAGTTTACCTGGTAATTATCACCAGTATAATGACAACAATAATACTGCTGATAGTTTACCTGGTAATTTTTACCAGTATAATGACAACAATGAAACTGCTGATAGTTTACCTGGTAATTAACACCAGTATAATGAAAAACAATAATACTGCTGATAGTTTACCTGGTAATTATTACAGTATAATGACAACAATAATACTGCTGATAGTTTACCTGGTAATTATTACCAGTATAAAGACAACAATAATACTGCTGGGTAGTTTACCTGGTAATTATTACCAGTATAAGACAACAATGATACTGGGTGATAGTTTAACCCGGTAATTATTACCAGTATAATGACAACAATGATACTGCTGATAGTTTACCTGGTAATTATTACCAGTATAATGACAACATTGATTTCTGCTGATAGTTTTACCTGGTAATTATTTTCCAGTATAAATGACAACAATAATACTGCTGATAGTTTACCTGGTAATTATTACCAGTATAATGACAACAATAATACTGCTGATAGTTTACCTGGTAATTATCAGTTCTCGCTCAGTATTTAGTTCACAAAAAACTTGTATTAATACTTGGTGTTGTATACTTATAGCCACATTAACACAGGTTATAAACTCACTTGTTAACAGTAGATTAACAGATATACAAAGTTAACAAACACTGCTCAAGGTGACGACTGAACTTTGTTTACAAAATATTTCTTCCAACATTGTTGACCAAAACTCTAACTCGTAAACAAACTCTTTACAAACTTTTATAGAAAAGCTTAGCTCATTTTAACACACCTTATTTCTATTCAATATAATTATTGCAAAGAATGCTAATACCAAGAAAAGTAATCTGATACATAAAAGTTAATATATTTACTTTATTCCTTAGTCATTTCGAACCACTAAGACCAGAACGTCAACATGCGATAATGGTCACACTTATTTATTTATTTATTAATTTAAACATGATATAGAGAAGTACAAAGCAATACATTAAAGAGCAGCATGCCAAAGCCACTTGTATGCAGAGCATTATGGGCAGGCTTAAAATTAACTTAATGGTGGCCAGGTGGCCTGGTGGCTAAAGCTCCCGCTTCACACACGGAGGGTCCGGGTTCAATTCCCGGCGGGTGGAAACATTTCGACACGTTTCCTTACACCTGTTGTCCTGTTCACCTAGCAGCAAATAGGTACCTGGGTGTTAGTCGACTGGTGTGGGTCGCATCCTGGGGGACAAGATTAAGGACCACAATGGAAATAAGTTAGACAGTCCTCGATGATGCACTGACTTTCTTGGGTTATCCTGGGTGGCTAACCCTCCGGGGTTAAAAATGCGAACGAAATCTTATCTTATCTTCTTAACTAAGCAATGATATATTTTTTTATATATTTTATAATGATATATTCAGTGATAAAACATTATTGTAAACAGATTTATTTATTTATTTATTTATATAAAAATTTGAGCACACATACAGAGGTACAACAAATACAGGTAAGAGCAGCATGCCAAAGCCACTTATACTATGCATAGCATTACGGGCTGGCTTAAAATTAACTTAAGATTAACTAAGCAATGATGAAATCAGTGATAAAACATTAATGTAAACAGGTTACTATAAAGCACAAGTGAGTATTACAAAGACAGGTCATATGGTTGTATGCATTGTTGTAAATTCAGTAGAATGGAGTATTCTGTTAGGTAGTGTATTTAAAAAATAATAAAGTTATATTGGGTTTTAGGTTTAACATTTATGTGATATAATTGTGAGAAACAATTTAAGATATACAATTTATAAGGTTCAGTTATTCAGTATTTATTTGGTTGTGGGTGAGTAAGTGATCTTTGAGAAGAGACTTGAATTTATAAACAGGTAGTGTTTTTTATATTTACAGGTAATGAATTCCAGATTTAGGGCCTTTTATGTGCATTGAGTTTTTGCATAGTGTGAGATGGACACGTGGAACATCAAAGAGTGATCTGTGCCTTGTGTTTGGTCATGTGTTCTGTTGAGGGTGGCAAGGAGATGTTTGAGGGGAGGGTAATATCAGAGTTAAGTGTTCTATGTATGTATAGGTGCAGTAGTAAGTATGGATGTTTTGTATGGTGAGTAGGTTTAGTGTATTGAATATTGGTGGAGTGTGCTGCCTATAGTGAGAATTTGTTATCATTCTAACTGCAGCCTTTTGTTGGGTAATTAGTGGTCTGAGAGGGTTACTTGTTGTTGAGCCCCATGCACAAATTCCGTAGGTGAGATAGGGGTAAATAAGAGAGTGATATGGGGCCGGGGAGGGCTGACTGTGGAGCAATAGTACCGTATCTTCGATAGTATGCCTACAGTCTTGGAAATTTTCTTAGAAATTTGTTGTAATGTGTATGAAATTTGAGTCTATTTCAAGGTGGATTCCTAAGAATTTTCCCTCTGTTAGCTTTGTGATAGGTGATCCGTTTATCATTATGTTAAGGGGGACATCTGTAGCTCTTTTTACCAAACTGAATGAAGTAGGTTTTGTCAATGTTTAGTGTAAGTTTGTTAGTTCTCATCCAGGTAGATATTTTCTGTAATTCGGTATTTAACAGTATTGGCTAGCGTGACTGGGCTCGGGTGGGAGAAGACGTATGTAGTGTCATCTGCAAAAAAGTGTATGTTTGAATAATTGCAAGCATTTGGTAGGTCTTTATGTATAGGAGAAAGAAAAGGGGGCCAAGGACATTTCCCTGTGGGACACCAACTGTAATTGGTTGTGCAGAGGATTTTTGCCCATTTGCATACACATATTGGCTTCTGTTGCTGAGGTATGACTAGAGGTAGTTGAGGAGTGCCTCTTATACCATAGTGTGACAATTTTACGTGGAGCAAGTCATGGTCAACTGTATCAAAAGCTTTACGTAAGTCAATGAAGATCCCCAGTGGGACTTCTTTTTTCTCTATTGAAAGTGTATATATGTTCTAGCATGTGTATAATAGCATCATTAGTATTTTTATTAGGCCTGAATCCAAATTGGCAGGGGTTGGTATGTTTTGGGAGATAAGGTAGGAGTAGATTCGTTTATGAATTAATTTTTCGAAGATTTTTAAAGAGGGTGTAAGTTGGATATTGGCCTATAGTTATTAAAACTCTGTTTGGTCCCCTCCTTTGTGGATCGGGGTGACCCTTGCTATTTTGAGTACTGTAGGGAAGGGTGGAGGATTCAATGGATTTGTTAAAGAGTGTTGCAATTGATTGGTGATAGCACTTGTGACACTTTTTTTTTATATAAAGGGTGGTAAGGTATTTAAATCTCCTGCCTTGTTTTTTAGTGTGTTGATAATAAGGGAGACTTCTGTTGGGTTAGTCGGAGCTAGGAACAGTGTGTTGGGTAGTTCCCGGTGAGGTAGTCATTTGGTGGGTATCTGAGCTTGGGATTTTATTGGCAAGGTTTTGTCCTATAGTGGAGAAGAAATCATTGAGTCTGTTTGCTGTTTCTGTTGGTGGGAGTTGGGGTTCTCTGATTTTGCTAATTTTATTTAGCTATTCGTGATATCTTTTTTGTTCCCAGAATTTCTGATAGGGTTTTCCAGGTCTTTTTTATATCACCTCGTAAGTTGGATAATCTGTTCTCATAATACAATTTTTTTGCCCTTCTTATCAGGCGGGGTTAGGATTGACGAGTAACGTTTTGTTTGGTCCTCTGGTTATGTGACCCATTCTGTACTGTTTTTCATATTGGTGTTTTGTATTTATGGTTTTGAGAATGCTGGGGGGTTAGCCGGGACTGTTCAGTCTCTTAGCTGTCATCTGTTTAGTTTTTTTAGGGCAGTGCTTGTTATAGAGGTATTGGGTCTTTTTTAGAAAATTTATTAATACATTCGTCAATATCTGTATAGATTTCTAGCTCAGTGTGCCAGTCAATGTTTGCTACTGCTGTTTTTGAAGTTATAATGGCTCCCTTCATTGTGAAGTTGAAGGTGACTTTATTTAGTGTCTTGGGGTAATTTACCAAGAGTTGTTATGAGGAAAGTCGGGTAGTGGTCTGTGGTATTATCTGAAATTATGCCTGATTTTAAAGGGGATATGGTGTTGGTCCAGATGTGGTCAAGTAGGGAAACACTAGTCTCTGTAACTCTTGTAGGTTTTGTTACTGTTGGTAGCAACATACAGTTACTCATTGTGTTTGTGAATTCAGTAACGTGGGTCCTGGTCTTGCAGGGGGGAGATTTATTTTGAAGTCCCCTGAGAGTAGTAAGTGTCTTTGTTCATGCGTGCATCAGTTATCATACTTCCTAGGTTTTGACTAAATTGGCTAATGTTTGACTGTGGAACTCTGTGGATGTTTATCAATGTGAGAGGTTTTTGTAGGTATTTGGATTTGAATTTGGCTATTATATATTCCCCATGTTCATCCCTTGTGCAAGTATTAGTGATAATTCTAGTTGGTCTGAGTAGTATATGGCTGTGCCACCCCCTTGTTGGTCTGGCCTACAGTTGTGTATGGCTGTGTAGCCAGGAATGGCATAGACATCTGTACTATCAGGCTTTAGCCAGGTGTAATGATGGACATATTGGCATGTAAGGAATTTAGTAATGCTATGAGGTCATCGTAATGCTTGCTTAAAGATCTGATATTGTAGTTAAAGATAGTTATGTTGTTGTTGGCAATGAGAAATGCCTTTGATTGTTCTTTCAGTGTAGTAATTACAGTAACTGTTTGATTCATTTAAGTCATTAAATAAGAGATTGGTATCAGGATCAATGCTTGTAATCATAAGATTTGTAGTGAATCTATAGTTAGAATTAAGTATAAAACAAAGTAAATAGTCTTAAGCTAAAAATAGCACCTGAATTATTTAACAAATGTAAAATTTAAAGAGCTAAGGTAGTTTTTTTTTTTTTTTTTTTTAAGCTAAAATAAAGGAGACAATAAAAAAGGGACTAATACAAATATAGTGATGAAACAAATAATGGAGCTTGGGAATATGATAGTAGGTAGTACTATAAAGGTAAATTTTTTAAAGTTAGAATTATAGTATAAAATAATAATATAAAGGGACTAATATAAGTTGTGGTGAACAATAAGTGGTAATCAAATAATTGCTTTGGAATTTAATGGCAAAATTGTGAACTTATTCTACTTTAGCACCTGAGAATAGCACCTTGATTATTTTAACAATTGTGAATTATAAACTAGGGTAGTTATATAAGCTAAAATAAGGAGAAAATATTAATAAGGGACTAAAATTAAGTAATGGGAAACAAAGTTAAAAGGACAGGTGGTCACTATGAAATAAATATTGGTTTAGGAGTAAGATCTGATTTGTAATATTAAATAAATTGAGCAGTTTATTGCACAATAAAAGTAAAAAAAAAATGAGGTAGTTGGGACTAGCTAGCCCAAAAAATAGTTTTGGTACTTGCAAAAAAGTAATTGGGAATATACACTAATTGCATACACAATGAAAAGTGACTAAAAAAACAAGTAGTGATAAACAAAATTAAATGGACAGGTAAGAATAATGAATATTATTAATTTGGAGTAAGATTTGACTTGTAGTTTAAAATTATGAGCAATTAATAGCAGTAGAAAGAAGTATAGAGTACTGGAGGTAGTTGGCATTAGCTAGTGATGAAAAATAATAAAAATAATTATGCACAATATAATAGTAACGTACACTATATGTACCACACGTATAT